GACACGTCACCGTCTGGCTGCGTGTAAACCGGAGAAACGATGCCGCTGACGTGTCGAGTTTAATGAGCGTCAGTTTGTTCTGGTTCACGCTTTGTTTTTGTGTGATCGCTGTCATTCTGAACTCACCCCACTTGTTCCCGACCAGAACCGGACAGGCGGCGTGCCGGGTCCGGTAGTCTCCTTCTCCGCTGGGATACAGGTTGTACCAGAACACGGCCGTCCCCTGCAGGAGCAGAGTCTCATGTGAACCCAGCGACAGAACCTCGGGCTGCTTTCAGCTAAACGTCGATGTTTTCTGTCTATCGTGTGTCTGACACGTCTTCGTTTGTTTGTTTGTTTGTTTGTTTGTTTGATTTTCAGCCTTCAGGAACAAAAACAGCAACTTTGATCTTATTCAAATTAAATCTCTTCAGATTTAAACTGTTTGTCCAAATAAAAACCAAACGTGAGGACATATTTGCTTTTCCAGAACAGACGACTAACTAACGAATCAATAAGATTATGAATCTGTTAATAGAGACATAAAGATGCTTTTGGCTCCATCACTGGACTACTGTAGTCCTACTATTGGCAGGAGTAGTTAATAACAATAAGAGTGTAATTATTGTTATTGTTACATTATTTGATTGGTGTTCACATATTATCAGTGACCTTTTATGATCGTTAATTACACATACAATTAATTAATATAAATAGTAGTAGTACAGCAACATCATTAAAATCATTAAGGCTTTGTTATTATTATTATTATTGTTGTTGCTATGGAGCTGTGGATCTAGCAACGGACCTTCTTGGGCCAGACGGCGGCTCCGACGTCGGTGAAGACGGTGGCGCCCCCTGCCTGCACGTCGCTCATCTGCAGCCACAAGGAGGAGACGCTCAGTCAGAGTTCAATCCAGAGACACTAAAGCACAACTACCAGAGGAGGCCACTGACGTAGAGCAGCCAGGTGGCGATCCGGTTCCCCGTGCCCAGCTCCTCGAACGCATCCGGCTCGTCTTTCTGCAAAACACACAGCGGGAGGAGTTCAACGTGTGGTTCTGACCCCTTCAGAGGCCGGTCTGTGCTGCCGGAGGTCAAACCAAGAGGCAGAAATCTACTGATTTACATCATGTGGCCAAAAGTCAGTGGACGAAAATGATAAAAATGAGTTTGTATCTGTCCCACGACTGCTAATAATCAGAATAAAATGAATGTGATTTACAACTGAATGCGTATAATTTGTGTTTAAAGGCAGATGACATTCACTGAAGAGAATTTAATTATTTAATCTTACTGGTGGAAGAACAGCAAAGACCTCCACGATGCTTTCTCTAAAAGGAACAAAAGATTTATTCACCCGTCCAAAGTCGAAGTGAGGTTCGTACTGGCCTCCGACGCCGTAGTTAGCCACCTGAGCAACACACAAACATCACCACAGCATTTCCATTTAATCCAGTTTACTGGCATGACAACAGCATGAACACAAGCATCAAGGACGGCCTCGTTCTTCACCGAACGTGGAGAAAACATGACGTTTATTTAGTGGATACAGAAACTGAACGACATTAGCTCTGTCTGACATGTAAAGATGATTTTCTAGTGAATAACCAGCTCCGTTAATTACTGTCTGCAACCTACAGGCCACAAACGAGTGAAACCGGAGGTTCCTAGGAGCTGCTGCTGCTGCCGTCAGGTGAGTTTTACCTGCAGGTCCTCGGCCGTGGACACGTCCAGGCCGGTGATGTCCTCGATCCTCTGGTTGATCTTGTCCACCACCGGATGCTCGTACGCTCCGAGCCAGGCGCTGCAGGACAGACAGCAGACCGACTCAAGCCGAGGCCCGAAACAGGAAAGGTGACGGCAGCAGGACGGACAGAAACCAGGTGAGGAAGGTGAGCAGGAGAAGGTGGTGACATGGAGCTAAACTTCTGAGGTTTAATCTCCCCTCAGTTTTAGAGGTACGCTAGTGTCACAATGCAGCTACTTTATGGTGAGAAATTAGTCTCAGTGACAAACATGTGGTGTGAAAGCTCTCTGGTCATGTTTGTGATGAGCTGCAGCGTCATACCTTCCCAACACCGAGTCAAACGGCTCTCCACTGTTTAGTCATTCATGCGTTCAGGCCCATTTTTTATCTCAGTGAAACGTTGGGAAGATATGAAGGAAGAGAAACTGCCCAGAACAGAAACTACAGGACGGATCCAGTTTGTTATGACCCAAGACTGTGTATAAAGCTGGACTGGAGCCACCTGGTGGCCGGTTGCAGCACTAACCATTGTTTTTGAGGGCTAATTTATGCTAATGTTGTGCCTAGCACACTGAGAGCACAACCAATCTATGGGGAAACGCAGCAGATATGTAGCTAGCTAAACAGCTACCAGTTGCTAATCATTGGTTTTTGAACCTTTGTAGTCCTTTAATGCTAATGCTATAGCTAGCAAGCCAGGAGTTCCACCAATCTATATCAAAGAGCAGATGATATGTAGCTAGACATCTACCAGTTGATAATCATCGTCTATGGAAGGCTAAATTATTTATCTCAGTATTGCTAATGTCAGAGCTAACAATCGAAGCACAACCAATCCATGTGGAAAAGTATCAGATATGCACCTAGCTAGCCAGTCTACCAGCTAATAATCAGCATGTCTTAAAGGCTAAGTTAAAGCTAATGTTATAGCTAACGACCTGAGAGCATAAGCAATCTATGGGGAAAAGTGGTAAGTAGCTAGCTAGTCAGCTAGCAGTTACTAATCAATGTGCTGAAGACTGGTTTAATTAGCAAATTAGTGCTAATGTCACAGGCAATAAACATCACTGAGTACTCAAGGCTAATAAAATTAGATAGCTAATGCTAATGTGTAGAAGTGTGTTATGCTGGCGCTATAGCTAGACAGCTAAGAGCAATCAATGGGAAAAGCAGCTGAGTTGTAGATACCTAGCTAGACAGATGGCTCGCTGTTACTAATCACTGAGTTCTGAAGGCTAACTGAACTAAAAAGTTCATGCTAATTTCACAGCTAGCACGTTAAGACCACAGCCAATCTGTGGGAAAAAGGCTTTGACATGTAGCTAAACAGCTAGCAAGCTGGCAGTGTTTAATTACTGACAAGCCCATCCACCGCCACCATCCAGATGGCAGCGGATGGGCTACCTAACGCTAAAGAAGTTCACATCTGGGCGGGGCAGGGGGCGGGACCTCCACACCACGGCTCCTCCCCCATCACCGCTGCACAGTGCTAACATGTCGGCCATCTTTATACACAGTCTGTGGCTGCAGCAGAGGATCAGTGGATCTCCGAGTGTTTGGTTCAGAAACTCAGCAGCTTCTTACCTCTTGGAGACTCTGTAATGAGCCGTGGTCAGTTTGCCTGTGTGAGGGTCATGAACCGTAGCCCGTCTGAGCTAGTTCACCGGTTATGTTACAGAGAGGACAGAAGACAGAGGACAGAATAAACAGAGGACAGAGGACAGAGGCATCACTAGCCGAGAAGAGAAGCCGCAGTCGGGGAGGCAGCAGAGGCTTCAGCTAGCTGCACCGCTAGGCTAACACGCTAACATATGTTTTAAAAAATTATCAAAATGTTTAGTAACATTTTTTTCCATATTTGTTTAAGGTATTGTTCACATTTGACTCCTAATCTGACAGTTTAAGGTCAGTCGACCCTTTAAAAAGCAGTGACTCGTATCAGCTGTTGTTCTGTCCAAAGCGTCTCTTGGAGGTGAATCAGCTGGTTGTTGACTGAACAGCAGAGGCCTGAATCCTCCTGCTGCCTCCAGGACAAAGTTAAAGAGACAACGAGAGTCAAACATCTTCATCTTTGACTCACTTTCCTCCCTCAGCAGCAGAAAAAAAAACCCTCTTCATTCTTGGCAAGAGCAGCGAGACAGAAGTGGTGAAGTTCAAACCCCTCAGATGAAACTGTAACTGATGCTGACATGACCTGCTGCCGGAGCATCACCACAGCTGTGTTCAGATGCCTCCAAACCCCAACGCGTCCACTCAGCTGCTGAATGCTGCCCTGTTCTGCTGATGGCCGGATGTTAATTGACTTTTAATGATAATGCTGGTAACAGATCAGGGCTCTGCGTCTACACTAACACTAATGTGACCTACACGACTTGTGATTCGTTGTGATGCAACGCCCCTCCACAGCGCCCCCTGCTGTGTGGAGTGTTTTAAGCTGCACTGCATCGCACTTCTTCAGCTCTCAAAAGTTATCAGCAGCCAATAAACTTTCACTTTTTCTGTAATTAACAGAAAAATCTTCCTTTATTCTGATTACAGCTGCGAGCATTGGGTGGACATTTAAGAACATGTAATATTCATTTTAAAAATGAATTAAACTCCCTCCAAACCTGAGTGTTTATATCCAGTATCGCCATAAATCCAGTACGTTAAGATGACAAGGTACTAAGCCTGAAATGTTGGTAGAAATGGTGGAAACAGACCCAAAACTCATTCAAAATACGATTTAGTCTGCATTAGATTTTAAATATCCCTCTTTCAGGACCTTTAAGGCTTCATATCTAAAGGCAGGAAGCCTGTGATGTTCTGTCTTTCAGGACAAAGCAGCTGAAGAATAATCACCACACGAGCGACTAATGACGGCAGACTTGTCATGCGGAGGTTTTGGTCAGTGTTTCCTGCTCTTGCCAGGACATGGGAGGAGGACGGGGTGAGGACCGGAGAGGGGAGGTCGGCCGGCCGGCTCCCCCCCAGACGGGCCTCCTGCCCGGGCAGCTCTTACCTCTTGCTGATGCGGTAGTGGGCCGTCTCCAGCACACCGGTTACGGGGTTGGAGATGGTGGCTCGACGCAGCTGTGGAGCCAATCGGCCGACAGTTACAGGGAGAACCAAGCCGACCCCCTGAAGCAGCGACTAACATCTACTGACACTGAGTTCAGGACTGATGTTCTGACCCGAACACAGGACGACACTCGGTACAGCTGTTATTGTGAAACTCACCTTTAAATGGACTGTATGTGAGTACAAGGTTTGTTCTCCCTCAAAATCAGCCTTTGGGCTAACTTTAGCAAGTCAGAGCTAATATTACAGCTAGCAAGCTAAGAGCATAACCAGTCTATGGGGAAAATAGAAGACATGCAGCTTGCTAGCTAGACAGCTAACAGTTATTAATCACTGTGTTTTTAAGGCTTATTTACGACGTTAAGGCTTTAAATGTAACAGAACAATCAATCTATGGGAAAAGGGTAGTTTATATGTACTGAGCGACAATTATTAAATGTATATCAAGTATTTGTAAGTATGCATGTATAGGCTGATTAAATAGCAAACTAATGCTAATGTTACAGACGGAAAGCTAAGAACACTACCACTCTATGGGAGAAAGTAGTTCACCCGCAGCTAGCTAGCAAGACAGCTGGCAGTTGCTAATGTTGAGATTTGAAGGGTGACTTCCTTACTAAAGTTAATGCTAATGCTATTGCTAGCATGCTAAGAGCGCAACTGGTCTATGAGAAATGAGGACTTCAAATGCAGCTAGCTAGATAGCTAGACAGCTAACAGCTACTGATCATTGTGTTTTGAAGGCTAACTTATCAAGTAGGTTAATGCTAGTGGTATAGCTAGAAAGTCAAGACGCCCATTA